CCGCTTCCCCTCTCCCTTTTTGTACATGTACATGACATGTATATTTTCCAATACATGTAGCAGCTATAATTGAACTGCATCTGATTGCCCTGGACCACCCTCCAACTCCTTTCACGTCATCACCATGCGGTATTTAGACAATTTTCATAGGAATTTGACAAGAAATCAGAAAAACCGATACCAAGTTCTATTTGCCCCGGGATATAACTTTACTGAGATTCGGAACAGTGATGGGATATGCGAGAATGTTTGTATTTGCAGGGGAGTCGAACACGCTACGGTCACTCCGATATTGACCATACCACCTTTGTCCAGGGTATCCTGTTAAGAGGGCAGCCTACCCATAAATTTCATAATTAGGCCAAACTAAAGAAGGTGTGTGGTTCGACTAACATGGACATTTTTTTTACGGGCGGGCGGGCGGATTTTTTTTTTTAAATATATTTTTTAGTACATGTAAATACACTGTACTGCCTTTAGACACCCAGTACATCGGCATTATTACGCAGTGTTATGCCATACATACTATAAAGGGATCACTGGCTAATACTTTGAAACATTGTGTAGCTCTGGAACGAGAAGAGAATAACTTCAAGCGGTGACTCTGACTGTCCAAATCATCAAGCAAATGAAGAACGATGCGAGTTGAAAGTAAGTTCGGGAACTACTTCGAACTCAATCGAAGTACAAATTGTACAATGTACCGGTACATGTATTGCTAGTTTGGTGTCGGCGTGCACGAATACATGGGCTTTTTCCATCGACGCTTCCTGTGCTTGCACACATGGAGCAGCAACTTACCGGTACAGGTGAAATATCGTTCCCAATACACGAGGAAAGTGCAATCTCGTCTGTCCTTCATCCCAAAACAGAAGGCCGTCCTTAATCTGGAACGAGGCAATCACTCTCAACCGGACGGTCACTTCAAAATAAGTCTCGCCAGTCTGCCGGTGGTCGTATCGAGTAGACTCTACTACCAGCACAAGGCAGCAGTCGTAGATCTACCACTCACTGCACTGCACTGCAGTACAACTACAAGTAGGCCTCCGCGGAATATGCCGGCATAATTTCGGGAATTATCGGTGTGATTTTTAAAACGGGAATTATTGGCAATTTTTGTGGAATAATCGGTAAAATTTGAGCAATGCCCCCCTATTTCAATTTTTTTTCCATTTTAACACCCTGATTTGTACCAAAAAGCTTGTGATCCTGAATGAGTTGATCGCCCGGTATTTCAAAAGAGAAAGAAAAAAAGCTTCCAGCCGAGTTTCACGCGAACCGTGATTTTTTTGCCCGTACAAGTGGCAAAAAACCCCGTAAAGCGGTGCGGTATCTGCAAAAAAGGGAAGAAAAAAAGCATTATTGTGAGAATTATTGGTGGAATTACGGGAATTATCGGACGTAATTTTGAGCAATGCTCAAAGGAATTATCGGTAAAAATACGAGCATATTCCGCGGAGGCCTAACTACAAGTCAAGTCCAAAAGGAGCCGCCTGCGTCCGCAGACTCACGCTGCACAACACGTAGACGTGGACGTGTTCAGTCCACGTACGTCAGTCACACGACAGCCCGCCGAAAAAAAGTTACGGTCGGGCTGAAAAATGTACGGTCGGTCGGGTGAGTCGTACCACAGACCTTCTTCAGTGTGGCCTTATGGCATTCAATTGACCGTAACTTTGGTGTTTCTCAATGGATTTGAGTGAAATTTTGACCACACTCCTGCCACTATGCTGGCCCTCAGGACATGATTAAAAAGTTCTTGCGCCTCACTGACAGGCTTTCCAGGCCGGAAAAACTCAAATTTCCGGCATAGTGCCACGGTGTGCGAGCCACCCAGGAGCCAAACAAATGCATTTACAAATTTTTCACATTATCCTGCCCATTCTGTCCGTGCGCGGGACCCAAACCTAAAACAAGTCCAGAAGCAGCCATGGGTGGTGGGGTAGGGCCCCTCAACGTGGCCCTGGAATCTGTCACAACGGAACGAGTGGGCGTTCTCTCACAGACTCCCACATACCCAAGTCAATTTTTGAATTTGTTTAGGTTTAGCACGTGCTACGAGGTCGTACCTTTGATACAACATCCAGTGCTGGGACGTCCACAGCAAGCCATTTCCACAGCGCTGCACATCAAATCCAGGATACCGTCAGAAACCGGCAAAGACTACCACTCACGTTCCGCTACTGCCTAGTACAGAATCCCACCTGACTTCTTGACACGACTCAAACTTGCCAAAGTCACTAAATCAACGTCAACTACAATAATCAAGCCACATATCTGCAACGTCACGAGGGTGCTGGCGAAAGTCCTGCTGCATGGCGGCGGGCTTCGCCCGCCGCCGTGCAGCCCAATACGTGGCTCAAAACCTGATTTTTTGGACTTAACGCAAAATTCTGCACACTTTCGCGTGTTTCCATGACACGACAAGTTGCGCACGGTCTGCTCACATTCAAATACAGTGCTGCCAACAAATGACAGCGTGCAACAAAAAATCTTTCCTTGCAAGGGCACATTTTCGGCCATAACTCTTGAACGGCTGGTCAGATCGGGACAAAATTTTCAGAGAATTTGCAGCTATTCGTGCTCTTTCTACTGATGTAGCACTCGATATGAATATACAAATTCGACTTTTCAGCGAATTTTTGGGTAGTCTGCCACCTTAAAATTAACAAAAAGCGCTAATCTGGGCTCTTCATTTGGAAATTTTCAGAGAAGGCACCCCAACTCGTGGCTCCATTGTACTTTAGATGGCTGACCGTACCACCCTGAAATACCTTCTCAACGCCCCTGATTGGCCACGGAAATATCGTTGATCGGATTGTCCAGAAAGCTACACACACACACACACTGCATAAAGCCCCCCCCCCCCCCGGCACACACACATAGAATTGCGCCCCCCCCCCCCACACACACACTCTGAAACAAGCCACAGCACCCCCCCCCCCCCCCCCTCCTACACACCTCAGACCTCAGACACACACACACACACACAAATTGGCAACAGGCATCCCCTCCCCACCCCCCCCCCCCCCACACACACACACTCTGACTCAGACATGCCCATTGCGGAAGCGATGATAGCAAACAGCTACAAGTATGTCTAACATAGCAACTTGTGCACACACAGAGACATGCACACACAGAGACACGCACACACAGAGACACGTACACACACAACGGAGAACAGTAGAAAATCAGTGTTCTTGACCACATGACACAAGAACCATGTCAGAATACCACACAAATACACTGTCCAGATAAGAAGCAAATCATGTGTATATTAACTACAGTGTTAAAGCAGCGGCAATTGTTTGCCACATCAACCAAATCCAAATATAGAAGGCAGTCGTGGAGCGTCGACTTGAACATTTCAGCATGCCAGACTGAGGGATGCCAACTGCATAATAATTAGGGCTCAAACGGTCACGGTTTTACCCCTAACGGTTAACTGCTAAGCTAACGGTCGGTTCAACGGCTATAACCTATAAGCCACGGCGATCCTGCGGACTCTTTTTTAACCGTATATTTGACTATACTCATTCAAAAAATGTACCCTATCCAGTACAACTCACACATGTGCATTCTCTTGCATGCTCATTCATACATACTCTCACACCAAGAGACCAGATATGACCGAGTTCACAGCCCAGAAATTGCGTACGCGTGCGACAGCCTGCGAAAGTGCATACTTTGCAACGACCTGATCCTCGAAAAATTGACTGAAAAGTTACTGCGTAACCGTTATCTTTATCGGTTAGCCGTAAATTCTTCGTAACCGGTCTGCAACTGGATAATCGGACTAACCGTTTGAGCCGTAATAATTATTAACAACCACACAAGCCGACCTGTTTGGGAGCTATTACGCGTTGTATTATCAGGGCATAGGCAACAATTGCCGCATACAGTATGCAATACTATGGTCCAATGCCGTAGTATCGCGAGCACCAATGTGCGTTAGACTGGCCAATGCCAGGGCTAATGGGGGCAACAATTGCCCGGCGTGTCAATACACGAGCGTACGGTAGGGATGCACTTGTGAGCACATGTAGGCGCACTTGGCTCAATGCCGGCCTGACCCACGATCCCTACCGTTCTTAGGCGTGTCAATACATGAGCATACGGTAGGGATGCACTTGTGAGCACATGTAGGCGCACTTGGCTCAATGCCGGCCTGACCCACGATCCCTACCGTTCTCCCTTCCGGGATGGCTTAGAATAGAATGATGGTTAGAGATGATGGGGTGGGTGGTGGTGCTCAAAAACTGGCCAAGGTTGTCAAGCGATCTGACTGTTGGCGCAGCAAGGATGAAGAAGAAACAGCATCGAGAGCCGGAGTAATGAGCATGCTCCGCGTGGTCCCGTGCCGGAGCGCGGGAGTTCGGAGTGCGTGTTCTGCACGGGCACGTGATGCGCTATGGCAAGTACGTGCAAATTATGTTAGGAATGTAATTGCTGGTGGGTTGCTAACTTCACTTACCGTGCCATGCACGGAAACTTATATTTAACAACCACACAAGCCGACCTGTTTGGGAGCTATTACGCGTTGTATTATCAGGGCATAGGCAACAATTGCCGCATACAGTATGCAATACTATGGTCCAATGCCGTAGTATCGCGAGCACCAATGTGCGTTAGACTGGCCAATGCCAGGGCTAATGGGGGCAACAATTGCCCGGCGTGTCAATACACGAGCGTACGGTAGGGATGCACTTGTGAGCGCACTTGGCTCAATGCCGGCCTGACCCACGATCCCTACCGTTCTTAGGCGTGTCAATACATGAGCATACGGTAGGGATGCACTTGTGAGCACATGTAGGCGCACTTGGCTCAATGCCGGCCTGACCCACGATCCCTACCGTTCTCCCAAAAATACAACATGACCCAAACAGGAATTATCGGCATTCCTTTGGTGTAGTAGCATTACTATAGTTATAGTATAATATGTATATCATATGTACACTACAGCTGTTGCTAGGGCCGTCCAATGCGGCTACCCATTAGCATAACGGGCAGAGACTAGAACAATGCCGCTGGCAATGCTCTGTCTGCAACAGGGGTGCGGACATAGCGGAGGTAGGCAGAGCTTTGCCACCTGCCGGCGGTCTTCAGCACATACTCAGGCACGCCAGCTTTGCCTGCCAGCGTTGCAGCGCCTCGTCTGAGGCTGTGGCTGCGCACGTCTGTGTTAGGCAAGGCTGTTTGTAGTAGCCTGTTGATGTTATGCGGCTTCAGGGGCGTGCCATCATCATAGCGATAGAGCGGGCCAGGTGCCGAGCCACGGGCTGCTAGGTAGCTGGTGGCTGCCGTGTGCGGGCATGTCGGCGAGCCTGTCCTCCTGACCGTGATGTCCTGGCCGCTGCCGTATTGGCTCGTCTTTGTCACACGCAGGCGCAGCTCCACGCGGTCTGGGTACATGGTCGCATCGCTGTACTCAAGGCCGGCGCCCCGTGCCGTGAAGGTGTACTCGTTGACACTGAGCAGCCCGTGGAAGGCCAGAGTCACGGCGCTCCAGAGCATGGCGCGGTTGTGCGGGCTAGGCACAGTGGACTGCAGGTAGTGCTGTACGCCAGCCAGATCGTCCAAAGTTGCGGCCGTTAGCACTTTCCGGACTGCCGTCTGGGATCTGAGCGCCCCCTGCCGGAGCAGCCGGACACGCGGTGAGGCGAAAACATCCAGGCAGAGGCCCTGCAGGACGTGCTGATGTCTCAGCGCCTGGGTGTAGAGTTTCAGAGACGAGCCAGACGAGCCGGACGAGAATTTCCAATTCAGAAAGTTAATCAGGCTGGGCTCCGGCACCGGGTACGGCGCGACCTGCCGTAGGGCAGCAAAGCGTTCGTAGGAACGCTGCACTGAAGCGTACGTCGCGTTGGAGCTGTCTGCCAGGCCGTGACGGATGAGCTCCATGGCTGCGTCATCAACTGATGGAGGGTGGACTGCGCTGGTGGTGTAGGCGCTGCGTCGGCAGTTGGGTTGAGGGTCCGGAAGCGCCGTACCTGCAGACGGGAGAGAGAATCAGCAAGATCATTGCAGTGTCCGGCGATGTGGCGAAGCAGGAGGACAATGTTATGCTGGGCGGCTTTCAATAAGCCGGCCCTGACCAAGTCCATGACCGCTCTATTTGGGGACGTGCCAGAGCGCCAGATGTAGCAGATTGCTTCGTTGTCAGTGTAGAGTAGCACTCGTCTGTCCTCCAACGTGTGTGCCCAGGTACAGAGGGCCAACATCACGGCGTACAATTCTTTCCATTCAATAGTGTGCTCAGCTTGGTCAGGAGACCATGCGCCATAGGACCACTTGCTGCCGAAAACCAGACCGAAACCGTGTCGACCTGAAGCGTCGGTGTACAGCCCGATGTCTTCGGCTGTGCTCCAGGACGGCTCGATGAGGGGCTTCCGACCATTCCATTGGCTGATGCAGGCATCCCACCACAGGATGTCAAGCTTCGCCTCCGAGGGTACGGCTACCGGTGCATCTAGGCTAGGGAGCGTTGCTGCGCTGTCGAACAGGCGTCTGCAGAACGTGCGACCCGCTGGAATGACTTTGGCTGCGAAAGACAGGCTACCGGCCAGGGACAGCAGTTCCCTCTTGGTGCACATCTGCTTCGACAGCCACGCGGCAAGTGCTAGCCGTAGTTCCCCCAGTTTCGCAGCCGGGAGGCGCAGCTCCCAGGCGGCTGTGTCGAGCTCGATACCCAGGAACGTTATTGAAGTTGACGGCGGGCACACTTTGTCCTCTCCGTCGGCCAATGGGATGTTCAGCATGTCAAATACAGCCAGCAGTGTCTTGAATTTGAGCATAGCTGCGGAGTTGGGCGGCTGGACGTGAAAGAAATCATCTAGGTAATGCAGCAAATCAACAATATCGTAATTATTAACTGCAATCCATGCCACAGCGTCGGCAAGTCTGTTGAACAGAAACGGGGAGGATCTGAGGCCAAATGGTAGTACCTTATCGACATAGTACGAACCTTCCCAAAAAATGCCAAGTAGGGGCCAGTCGTCAGGGGAAACAGGGCAGAGCCGGAAAGCGTGCTTCATGTCGACCTTAGAGAGGCGAGCTCTGGGGCCGTGCTGGAAGATGCAGCGTATTGCGTCATCTACCGTAACGTAATGCAGGGAGAATTCGTCAGGGTAAATGCCATCGTTAATGCTAGAGCCGCTAGGGGCAGATAAATGCATGATGAGGCGTATGCCGCCAGACTTCTTGGGCACGATGCCAACGCCAGAACATCGGATATTAGGGAATGGGGGTTGGGAATAAGGCCCGGCCATGTGGCCACGCGTGCATTCAGACTGAAGGTAAGCAGAGACGGCGGCAGGGTTGAGCAATGCGGAAGGGAGATTAGGGGCGATGAGGCGGGATCTATTACCGTGATAGCCAATGCGGGCCCCGAAGCGCATGTCGTGACAGAGAGAATGCACAAAATCGTTATCGGGGTGCTGGGATAGCTCTTCAAACAGCAGGGGAATATTTACAGGGGACCAAGGCGCGTGTGAGCTAATTGGAGCTGCGGGGTTGGCCAGCAGAGCATGTGGATTGGCCATGACCGAGGCGGCCGCAAGAGAGGCAGCTGTGGGCGAAGCGGCAGTTGGAGCGGACGCACTTTCCTTGGTTGAAGAGGCGGCATACTTCTTTGTCGACCGTGTCGTTGCCGCTGCTGGGCCGAAAGGAACGAGCGTCGTTGCTGCTGTTGGGCCGAAAGGAACGAGCGTCATTGCTGCCAGTGGGCCGAAAGGGACGAAATGCCCGCGCGTCAAATATAATTGTGTATAGGTCCTGGACTATTGCGTCCCACCGCATGGTTGGGTCCGCGGCCAGGAGTGAGCGGAATGATCGGTCATACTCCTGCACGGCCTCAAATCGAAATTTCCGGGCTACTTTCAGGATAATCTGCTGGTACGCAAACAGCTCTGGGGCCCTGGAGGGTGTGCTGTGGCGTAAATCGCGCAGTATGTTGTCCAGGCGTCGAGCCAGGTGTCGATGTCCTCGACCTTCCTGGAGGGCCTGTTGGCCGGTGCTAGGACCACTGCGCCGTGGGAGCTGTCGTGGTCGATCTGGAGAATGCTGCGGCTGGTGTCCCCTTGGGACGGGTTAGGCAACAATGAGCCCAGTTCAACAAATTGGCCAGTTACTACTTTATCGTGAATGGCTTTCGGCACGGTTGCATAAAACGTTCTCTTACCTGCGGGGTTCATTGGCGGTGAGACGGCAGCCGCCAAATGCGGAGCAGGCAGAGCGTCCTGCGGAGTTGCTGGTGCTTGCCGTGGGAGTGCCGCTGCGTGAGCTGGCGGTGGGGGTGCCGCTGCGTGAGCTGCCGGCGGGACTGGAGCCGCGGCCTGATTTCCAAGGGCAGCACGGACCTCCTCCCGGATAATGTCCCTCAGGGACGGAGCAGCAGTTGCCTGGGGTAGGTTCTGCTCGGCTGCCTGAGTGGCCAAGTCCTCGCGCACTGCAGTGAACTCCAATGACTCGAGCAGGCGAGTCAACAGCCTGGGTTTGGTCCCCGTTGTGTCTAAATTGCGGGCCGCCAGTTCTTGTCGCAGCTCTACAGAGCGCATTTTCTTGGCGTTGTTCACTGACAGAGATTCAGACATGGTTGCTCGGAAATGGAAAGTGCTCAATGCTCAAAAACTGGCCAAGGTTGTCAAGCGATCTGACTGTTGGCGCAGCAAGGATGAAGAAGAAACAGCATCGAGAGCCGGAGTAATGCGCATGCTCCGCGTGGTCCCGTGCCGGAGCGCGGGAGTTCGGAGTGCGTGTTCTGCACGGGCACGTGATGCGCTATGGCAAGTACGTGCAAATTATGTTAGGAATGTAATTGTTGGTGGGTTGCTAACTTCACTTACCGTGCCATGCACGGAAACTTATATTTATAGCCTAGAACCAACATTGACTAGAAACAGAGATTATAGCCTTGCGTGGGCATTTCCTAGTACTGGGATACCGCCTAGAACCTGCATATCCAAGCAATAGGTTAGAAATGTGTGTACAACGCACCTCTGGAGAGATGTCGTGAATGGTTACCCATATCAGCCTGTGGTGCATAATTATATAAACCATCGAGTCAGACAATGCACATGAATGTGACAATGATCTAGCTGTGTGTAAATACACACACCAGCATTACTCTGCTGAGTACAATGTTAAAACAATATCTGTGCTATATGATCAGCAGGTGAAAGAATGAGACACGATAACATGTCCCACAGCAGAACATACAGAGGAAATTGATAGGTTTCGATAGAGTGACCAGTGATTTGATCTAGTCAATTACATCTTAGACCTCGTGTTCAGCGAATGCGGGTTTGCAGCAAAAAACACAGGGCCACGTTAGGTGGATGGGGCAAGGATACCTTTGGTCAAGATATTGCTGCTGCTGCTGCTGCCGACTGTGACGTCTGCAGGTGATGGTAGTTTGGCAATATCTTTGTTAGGAAGTCCAGCTGTAATGTCGGTGCCTGGGAGTTGGACACGGAAAGAGAGAGAGAGAGAGAGAGAGAGACAGACAGACCGAGAGAGAGAGAGAGAGAAAAAGAGAGAGAGAGAGAGAGAGAGAGAGAGAGAGCAAGAAATCCAACGCGATAGTGTTTTATTTCTGCTAGAGAAGTGGTACAGTTTTCTTGGAGACAAGAATGCAATGATACTGAGAAGGAGAGGAGGTAGCAAACAGAAAATTAATGTGCCTTTCAACCTAAATCTCCTGCATGCAAGTGCAAATGAGAACTGGTTCAATAAGACTCGAGTATGTGTAAAACACACACCATTAGATTTTGACCATTTGACGCCCCTCGCCAGAGGCGATGATAGCGATGCTACAGCAGAAGCCATAGCAGTTTGTGATGGTGTTGCACCATTCAAAAGCTTGCAAGGCTGAAGAATTGACCGCCACTATTCAACCTGGTCTACACCACACAGCTATGAAGTGGCTTTTTCTGGCCAGTGAATCCCTACTTTTTGGTCTTTTCATTTTTTTTCACGCACACACATCACACCACATACTCCAGCATGCACTGGCTGTTGGTAACCACCCAGGAGAATGAAAGAAAAGACAGGAGGAGTCGGAGAAAGAGAAGAAAGACGTGTGTGACCATAATCGTCAGGAATCGAACCCGCAACCCATCGATTGGAAATTGCTGCACACACCACTGCACCATATGGCAGACACACACACAAACACACACACACACACACACACACATGCACACGCACACCCGACGCACGCACGCACACACACACACACACACACACACACAAAAGGCACGCAAAGCTTACCGTGGGTTTATCACCTTGCACTCGACGCTGTTTGCCCTGGCCAAACACTATCGTATTCTCAGGCAGTGTTTCTTGACTGGTCAGATGACAGCATGCCCCAGAGCATAACCAATAGTTATGGCTGACTTCACACCAATATGACCTAGTAAACAAATGACATACACACACACATACACACACACACACGCGCGCGCGCGCGCGAGCATGCACACACACACCACACTCTCTCTCTCTCTCTCTCTCTCACACACACACACACACACACAAAGTAGCACACTGAAATACAGAGGAATAAGGCAAGGAGCCTTCGAATTTATAACATACGTTATAGTCAAGTGGTGTGCTTCACTGTCCGACGAGTGCTCAATGCCCATGTAGGGCAGAGCCTTGTACACAAGAGAGAGTTTGGAAGCTTTGTCACAACTCCGAGTTTCACGTATCTCTACGATCATCAGGCAACTGATGGATCCAAAACGGGCAGCCAGAACATAAGGGGGAGCAAGGTGGGAAATTCCGAGGGGTGTCATAGGCGACGCGTATCATAGCGCAAGAGTCAGGTGCAGGCGTGAAGTACGTTATACGAACCATGAAACCGACAAAGGTGTCAGATACGACAATACACATTCTAACAGTCGAGCATGATGTCAACACACCCATACACACAGCCACTATATGGCGTAAGTGAAGACACCAGCCAAACTAGCTGGTACACACATACACACACAAACACACGTATGCATGGGCGCACTTACGTACACACCATGTACCATGTATACGCCCGTCGCAAGAGAAGCATGCAAATCTGCAAATGCACTGGATGTGCACCCACAGATTTTCTCTTATAGCAACGATAGCGAACAAGATCTGAATGAGACAGATCAATACTTGCGCCAGATAACTGTCTAATCCACACAACTGGCGAAGCCATGTGAATCGACCACCAATGCACACCTGGTCTACACCACACGGACTACATCGGCATAAACCGGCCAAGACAGTTACCTATGCACACCCTACACTTGCTGGGGTAACCAGTATAGACAGCATGCTGCTTTGATAGAAGCAGACACTAGATGCACTGGCACCTTGATGTGAAATTGGAGTTACTTTACCAACCAGCCTCGGCACGTACACACACACACAGGCACGTACACACACCTTGGACCTTGGACCTTGGACGCCCATCGCCGTAAGGCGATGATAGCTAGCGAGCCGAGCAATATCTTGCATGGCGTTTGAGGTCTCCTGACCGACCAAAAACGCGACCACAGGGGCAGGGGAATGTGTCCACCCTCTGCACAGGAGCGCGACGATGCTGTGTAAGTTGCCTCCAATCTGCGCGGTTCTGAGCTGCGTCATACCAGCCCCTATCCGAGATCTCTGCCTCCTTCAAGTCAGCGCTGATGACATCCCGGTACCTCTTCTTGGGACCATGGCGAGGGCGGGTTGCTGAGAGCTCCCCGAAGAGAACCTGTTTCGGCAAGCGGCCCGAAGCCATCCTCGCAACATGGCCTAGCCAACGAAGACGGTGGCAGCGAATCAGGTCATCAATGTTCGCAGGCAGCCCAATCCTCTGCGCAATCTCTTCGGTGGAAATCCTCTCCTGCCACTGTTTGGACCGGGAAACACCAAGGATGACGCGGCAGCAAGCATGGTGGAAGGTGTTGAACTGCTGCAAGTGGGTGGCTTTCACGGCCCAAGTCTCCGCACCATAGAACAGTGTAGTGAGTACAACGGCTTGATAAACTAGTTTCTTGATAGCAACGGAGAGACATCCACACTGGAAGATAGGTCTCTGCAGGGAACCAAACACGCGAGATGCCTTGGCAAGTCTTGCCCGAACCTCATCATCAAGGGCACCGCTGCCACTGATGGTGCTGCCAAGATAGGTGAAATTTTCCACCACCTCAATGTCCCCTCCAGAGTCCAGACGAACCCCAGGTGGATCGACACCATTCACCACCATAGCTTTGGTCTTGGCCGTGCTGACTGTTAGGCCCCACTGAGAGGCGCATCCGACGAACTCGTTGGTCATGACCTCAAGGTCCTGGTGCGAAACGGCATAGAGTGCCGCATCATCCGCAAACTGGGATTCTGTAACCTCAGTCGCAAGAAGTCGGGATTTGGCTGTTCGATCTCCGACCAGCTTTCGACCGATGCGATACCGCAGGGTGACGCCAGGTACAGATGAGTGTGAGCACCACGCAGATACAACAGCTGCAAAGTAGATGTTGAAGAGGGTGGGCGCCAATGTGCAGCCCTGTCGGAGACCATTGTTGACAAAGATGTCCTCCGTATATCCCCCACCAACTCGCACACGCGCCCTCATGCCGACATGAAGGCTCCGGATCAACTGCAGCAGATGCGGGGGCACACCAACCTTCTCCAGTACACGCCACAGCGCTGGACGGGGAATCGAATCATACGCCTTTCTGAGATCAACTAATAGGACGTACAATGGAGGGTTTGCTGGGGCCAACACTTCGAGGGTGTGCTGAATGTTGCCAGCACATATGATATCACAGTGCTGGAGGACATGCCTGCTGCGGAGACTTGGAACGACTTAGATCAGCCTCCTAGTTTCGATGAGGTGATTCGTGGCATGCGGAAGATGAACCTTGGCACGGCTGGTGGGGAGTCGGGGATTGTTCCGGATCTGCTTGTTCATGGCGGCGCTGCTTTGCATCAGCGTATATTTAACTTGATCCGTGCAGTCTGGTTGAGTGGATCCGTCCCGCCTGAGTGGCGCGATGCCGAAATCGTGACAATACCGAAGAAGGGTGATCTACATCGATGTGACAATTGGCGTGGCATTAGCTTGCTAGACGTTGTTGGCAAGCTATTTGCTCGCATCATCCAGGACCGTCTCCGCCCTTTGACCGAAAGTAACTTGCCTGAATCACAGTGCGGATTTAGGAAAGGACGCGGCTGTGTCGACATGATATTCGTGGCACGCCAACTCATTGAAAAGTCCGTTGAACACGATACACACACGTACACACACACACACACACACACACACACACACACACACACACACACACACACACACACACACACCGTGTAGTCATGTGATACAGTCAAATCTGTCGTAAGCGACTGCCCCTTGGGGTGCAGGAAAAAGCGGTCTCTTACGGCAGATGGTCTCTTACGGCAGATGTATGGTAAATCTGGCATAACGGGCATGCATACATGTATATGCTTCCATGTACTCAAATCGACGAGAATAATGTCATTTTTAATAATTTTCGTTTCTAATAATAATTAATTATTATTTGAAACTCGGATGTTGAGCCATAAATAAATGTAGAAAGGAAAAGGACATAAGGATACGAGTTAAGAGCGCTTTGTCAAATATCGTACTGGTCTCGTCATCGTCCAGTAACAATCGACATTCTTTGTTCCGTTGGGACTGTAGCTTTTGCTCGTTTTCGTTGCGCTTGCCTTCCCCTCTTTGGTCTTTCCATAACCTTGAACCTTCCAAGTAGGAAGGCTGTCGGTTAGCGCTACGCAGATGTGTTGAAGCTAGGTGTCAGGACGTCGAATGTCCCAGTACTCTTGTCAGTTTTGTGCCTAGTTATTGCACTTTCTGACTGTATATAGTATCCAGTTACAGTGATGGAGAGTTACTCTTAACTCGTATCCTTATGTCCTTTTCCTTTCTACATCTAATAATTATCATAGTTTTTATTGGATATTCGATAGAATAGGGTGCCAGGGCCAGTCGATCGCACTTGCAAGACAGCGCATTTTCACACATTGCAGTTGACAGCGCACTGGCAAGTACGTACAGTTTCGCACCTGAATGAACGAGGGTCGCGGTCGCTTACAGCAGATTTGAATGCAGCCACCGTGCATGAAATCGCGGTCGCTGGTCGCGCACAGCAGATGGTCGCTCTGGACAGATCAATTTGTATGTGAAACCGTCGGTGCACGGAAAATCGGTCGCTAACGGTAGATGGTCGCCTACAGCAGAGGTCGCTAACGGCAGATTTGACTGTATGTTTGCCCATCGTAAGAGAAACATGCCAATCTGAAAATGCACTGGATATACACGCACAGATTTTATCTTAGGCCTAGTTAGGGGCCATCCGTAAATATAGATATTTATTTAGAAACGAAAACTAGTCGTTTAGGGGGGAGGGGGTTGAGCGCCTGTTCGTTTCTCGAAAAATATCGATGCGCAGTTTGTATGTGTGGGCACGTCCAGAAAAGAAAAGAAAAAATATCGATACTATGCATCGTTTGTATTTGTTTGTTTTTGAGGGAGGGAGGGGGGAGGGGGGTTGAAGAGAAACGACTAGTTTTCGTTTCTAAATAAATATCGGTATTTACGGATGACCCCTTATACAATGTAGTAATGATAGCGGATCAAGAGTGGAACAGATCAGGACTAGCGCCAGATACCTGCCTAATCCACTCAGCTGGTAAAGCCATGCGAATCGACCAACAATACACTCCTGATGTACACCACACTGAGCACATCGGAATAGGACAGCCAAGACAGTTACCTATGCACACCCTATACTTGCTGGAGTAACCAGCGTAGTCAGCATGCTCCTCTGACTTAAGCAGACACTAGAAGCACTGATACCATGAAGTTTTACACAAACACACACACACATGCACGCGTGTGTACACGCACACACACAGACACACATGCACATACACCCCCCCCCCCCCTACACACACACACATACACACGCACACAGCGGCATGGAATTTGCAGAAGGAACAATGCACTCACCAGGTATGGGTAATCACTTGCTCCTCGATCTTGCCTGTTCATATGCTGGCTACGCAAACCGCTTCAACATGTGCAGTCTGTTCAGCATCAGCCCTTCTGCTGTCATCCTTAGCCTTTGCAATCTTGTCAACTGGCGCATCAGCCTCAACTGCACTTGTTGATTCTGCGTTGATCATGGCAAGGCACACTGCTGCCTCTGTACAGCAATACAGAAACAGTAACACAAGTTCATGTTACTGTAATGAAACCATATTCATCTCCATACAAGCAAAGGATACTACTGTCTTTTTGACTCAATCCCCCACCCTCCAACACACACACACACACACACACACACACACACACACACACACACACACACACACACACCTGTGATAGGCAAAGTTAGGCGGATTCGCGGCCGCATCACCTGACGTGTTGGGGAACACAAACTCAGTATGGTGTCAGCACAGTTCACTGCATGTAAAGTGGCACTTGCCCGCATCACCACGATTGAGAGAGCACCGAACACCCCCCCCCCCCCCCTCTCTGTTTCCAGCGAGTGATTATTTTTTCCCAATTTTGCATCCCACATCAAATCGCGAAAGTAGGCGCGCACACGAACATGCACACACACACACACACACACACACACACGAACACACACAGTCACGCTTATTCAAGAGTGGTTGACCCCTGCTATGGCAGGTCAGGGGTATCGGACACATTACGGTCACTATGATAATGAACGTACCACTCTTTGCACCGAGTATCCTGTGAATCATTAACATGCACTGGGCTCTGAAATTCCAAAATGTTCAAGGCAGGCACCCCTCCCTGACGCGTATAATGTACTTCAGACGGCTAACCGTACCCGGCACACTAAATTGCCTTCCGACGCCACTGCAGACACATTACATCACTTAGTGTTGACAAACAAGTTTAGAAAGGATGAGTTTGGACGCTTCTTGAAGCTTTATTACTTATCCAATAATGTTGTGGGCTAAGAGCCACACTTCAAATTGCACTGCTTTCTGCACTTTACTCAAAATTCTAATGGAATATTGGATTCATAAAATGGATACGCTTAGAATAGGAGACAAAATCATCCCCAACGTAAAACTAATCTCATTCAATTCCAACCATTAAACAATTCGAGCAATTAACTCGCCTTATAAACGCTATCCGCTGATCTGCTACGCACATCTCCCAACTCCATTGTGTGATACGCCAGCATCAGTGAATAATGATTAGCGTGGCACTTGCGTAACCCATCAGTACGCTGCGCAGAGCAACCAGCGGTTCGCACATAAATGTAGCAGCTATCGTACTGCAGTTCCAATCATTCAGTTTATGCTACCAACGTCCGAGCGTCTTCATCGTCAACAATAAAATATGCAATTTACACACAAATTGCAAAGAACAAAACTGTGAGGCTAGTTCTAGATTCTGTCCAAAGATTGAGTGCAATTAAATAATTCACTCAATAAAATTAATGAACAATTTTTCATGACGACATGAGCATCCGTATCCGCATGAATGCCTTCCCTACGAGTCGAACACAGCAAAGTCTGGACTCTCGCCCGGTCAAGACGACCACATGCACAGTCAGTGTGAAAGTACATAACCACTGAACCAGACTGATAACTGCTTCACACAGTGTAGATCTACAGTGGTGAAAGAAAAAAGAAGAAGGTAGCAACAGACATACGTACATGTACGCTGATTGTTGCCGTTGTTGTGCCAAAGCCAGTTTTGAGTTTGAGTGTTACGGGACTGAAATAGTCCAATGACTTTGACTGTTGTCACATTACGAGATATTGAAATAACAGTAGCTGAGTTTGGACTCTACCAGTGTTTCTTCGCGGCTGAAAACCGGCAGCACACACTACGCGTATTGGATACGAAGAATAGAAACAAGGTAGTTTTACGATTGTAGGTGTTGGTGCGTGAGCCATTCAGCGTCATGGCGAGCAAAGCGGAGAACAGCAGTCGTAATGACTCTGAAGCAAAGTGCTCGAGTCAGGATAGCGGTGAACCTGCAGCGAACGGGTCTGCCAGCACACAAGCAAGTCTTGCCACTGGTCAAGCAGATCAGGTAAGAAACATACCCGAGGCGGTGTGCAGGTTGAGAGATTTGCTAGTTGAGGAGTATTTAAGCGCAACGGTAGATATGGGAGAAGGCATGGTTGAAGAAGGGCTCAACGAACCCAGCGTTTCAGACGTGCAAGTGAAACTGATCATTTTGTCGAGACCCGAGCTCCGAGATCAGTTCAGCGACGCGAGTTTTGATTCGATTGGCGATGTGTGGCGTGTGGAACATGTTTTCACACAGGCGGCCAGTAGCTTGAAGAATATCTCACTGGAAAGTCTCTTCGATCTTGATAAAGAGCAGATGCTGGAGTTCTCTAGCGGTGGTCGAACCTATCGCATCTTGGTTGTAGCCAGTGCTGGCTGCGGCAAAACATTCGCCTTGACCAAAGTGGCTCCATTGAAATGGGCCCAGAATGAAATGTGGACGTCGTTTGACCTGGTGGTAGCGCGAAAGCTGCGACACGAGGAGGTGAGAAAAGCAACGAATATATGCTCTCTGCTTGGTGTGGAAGAGCTGGGAGAGTTTACGAGCGACGACCGCAAGAGCATCGATGGCTTTGTACGCCAGCAAGCGCATCGATTGTGCTTAATATTAGATGGTCTTGACGAGATCCGCCTTAGTGAGTGTAGTGGCTTTGTTCGTGACATCATCAACGGGTCTAAAGTGAAGGGGCTTCGTCTGGTAGTGACGTCACGGCCGTGCGTTGAGCTACTGAGCTTGTGTGATCAAAAGCAGTTTGATCGGCGTGTGGAACTTGTGGGTTTCCGGCAGGAGGATGTAGAGGAGTACATCGGAAAGGTGCTGAGATCAGCGGAAGAAGCATCGGCACTGGTAACGACAGTACGGCGTGACCAGAACCTTGCTAGTATGATGGCTACACCATTCCTGGCCATGCAGACGTGCAAGATCTTCCACTGTCGTAAGCGCACGCTGCCCCGTTGTCTCTCGGATATCTTTGAGATGATGACCATCCAAGTAGCAGAGCGTCACACTGGTGAGTCGTACAAGAATTGGAATGCCATCCCCGCTCAAGTGCGGTCCCTCATCCTGGATCTCGGAAAGTTCTCTTTCAGCATGCTGAGGAAGCAGCAGCTGATATTCACTGATGCTGACCTGGAGGCACGATCGATTGCCAGAGAAGCAAAGTTACTGGGCCTTCTTGTACTGGCCGACAACAGCAGCAGGGATAAGGACCGGTTATGGATGTTCAGCCATCTGACATTACAAGAGTCTCTGGCTGCTCGCTACGTGGCTGTACACAAGACAACAACATTGGCACATGTTGTTCACCTGGTTGAGTCACTGGGACCCCAAACCAGCCACTTACGCACGTTCTGGATGCTGCTGACGGCTCAGCTGGATGCGGAGAAGGCTGACTGCTTGATCAACGGTCTACTTACGCGGGTAAAGTCAGAAGAGCGAGACGTGCAAAACTGGGACGGTGACAGTGAAGGTTTGGCTGAAACGATGGCACTGAACATGTTCCCACTTGACATGCTCGAGGTCCTCAGCGCCGGATTAAACTACGAGGAAATACATCGCCTATCGGAAGAGACGCTATCTGACCGAATCGACGGACGAAGCGGCAAACAGTACGTCGAGAATCGCAGTAAATACGGTCGATCGTCTACCGGTGAAGAATTCCTTAGTACAATGTTGCTGGCTTGGGTGGAACGCTGCCCGGACGCAACACCTGCTACACTGGCTACTGCTCTCCGACGCATGGGTAAAGAGGTACTCGCACAGTCTCTTACTGCCAACAAGCCAGATAAGCCACTGCTACAGAACAGTCCCTTCCACAACGATATAACGGAGGAGCATTGCAGAAACTTGGACCTCGCCTTGCTGTGCTATGCTGAGTATTCTCATCACCATGGCAACGACACCCATATGTCCAGTATTGCTGCTGCATTCCAGTGCATGAATGTAGAGATCAGTGGTTACTACCATCCTGCAGTGTTGCGTGCCTATGATGTAGCCATCAATGTCCACCATAGCAGTGTGAGGACTGTGTACATACGTGGCCTGGAGCCCTGTGTCCCAGTGTCACTGCCAGCATCGTTACTCAAGTGTAGCAACATCACCAATCTCCGTATCTGTATTTGTACCTGGCAGTGGCAGGAGATTACCTCCGTTATCAAGTCATCACACCTACAACTGGAGAAGATCTTGGTGGATTTCTGTCTTTTCCGTGATTCTTCCGATAGCAGTTTACGATCACACCCAGTCAACACCCAGCCAGCACAGCCTACAAGCAGTGGAGAGGTAACAACATCGGAACAGGTCACCGGCATCCCCGCACTGCTCCTGGCCGACGTACTTGCCGACGTTCCCCGTCTCAAGGAATTCGCCCTGGACTACTGTGACCATATTGACGAGGAGGGTCTGCGCATGATCTGCACAGCACTGCATAGTGCATCACATCTGTCTGAATTCCGCACTCATCAGTCCCACTGGGCACACTGCATCAATGTCCTGACAGAAAACCTGCACACTGCCTGGCCCTGCTTGACGGCGCTGAAAATCGGTGATACGTGGGAGACACTACTGCAGGATAGCCCAACCGATGATGACGTCACTGCATTCCTGCATGCCATCAACAGCCATACCTCACTGCAGACACTAGCAATCTCGGCCAGCCATACTGAACTGGCCCCCGTGGACGCCTGCAAACGTCTCTTCAGCAGCAGTTCCTATAGATCTTCCTTGGACACGGATCTCCGCCTAATACAGTTGTGGTAGTACGGCAGCTATCTTGCCAGTACCGTCATCTTATGATGCATAACTAGACACATAGTCGGTAGTAATTCCACATTATCCTCAAACAGTCTACTAGTATGCAGTGACAGATTATGTAAGAGAAGAAAACAATTAAAAACTGTACCAATACAGATTGTGTACCACTAGCAGTACCAGTAGTCCTCGACTGTGTATTCTCTAGGCTTAGTACATGCACTTGTTCGCTGTTAGATAACCGAGGCCTTTCTTAGACATTTGTCTCCACATGATTGTGGAAGTGTTTCTGCTGTACAACACCTTGCCAGAGTGCGCCCCCCCCCCCCCCCCTGGGTACATACTGTGCTTTGCAACCCCCACCCCCATTGTGTTTGTATATAATTTGTAGTCCACACATTCAGTTGACTAATATGTAACCCTATAGCACTCATTCATATTCCTAAATAAACAGATAGCCTGTCTATATCCTGTGTAGATCTCCATCTCACTATCCTATTATACAGCAATCCACACTGCACCCCCCCCCCCCTTGCCCCCCCCCCCCCCTCATCCTCCCCTCCCCGCCGATCTTGCCTACATGCAACATGCTGTTGACAGATACAAGTAGTACTGGTGTAGATATTTGCCATTCCCACTGCATATGTCCTTCAGGTCATTGAGCTATGAGACTAGCAACTGCTGCTATTCAGACTGTGCATTGATAGTGTGTATGGCTATTCTTTGCACTGTGTGTTTTGTATAATTATGTGTGTTGGGACGGTGTGACGGGCCCATCAAGATTCTTTTCTCGTTTGGTGGGGAGATCAGCTTTTTGAACTGGCCTTGAATTTGGCGTGACAGCCCAGGGCCGTTCAAATACGCGGCACGTAAATGGCCTGTTGATGTTGGGTATCATAATGATTGGGAGTGCATGCTGTGCAATGTTGCCATAATTTCATTTTGGTTGCTTCAATATGTACAATATTTGCCAAAACATCCGGCCAATGCTGCATGCACCGTAGTCGACTATCATGTGCAGCATTGGCCAGATTTCTTTGGTGTGTATAGTACTTGCAATATACTAGGTGCTGGTTGCATGCTTTTGTGTTGACTACGCTTCTCAGGTTCATACTAGTCTGCATGTCAAATTTGTGGATCCATGGATGGTGCTGGAAAGGTTGTCATGGTGATTGGGAAATCCCCTCATTCCACAATCCACTTCTCTGGTCTACATGCAATCAAGTAATCAAGTAACCATGGTTACTTGGTGTGCTCCACTGTCTGAACAGTGCTCAACACACATAGACTAGTAGGGCAGAGCCGTCCACACAAAGGGGAGAGGGGAAGTTGTGTTGCAAGGCTGAGTTTCAAGTATTACTGCGAAATACTACGATCATCAGGCATCGTAGTAATACGTCAAACTATGAGTGGCGACACAGCTTCTCCTCTCCCTTTTGTACATGTGTATTTAATGTACTTCGAAGTACATGAAGGTCAAAAAGAATGGTTCCACCAATTATACATACGTTGTAACGCTGCGTTTCATGCACGTTGCTAAATGCTGAGGCAATCATCAGACAACTAATGCTTTTGTCGCGGGATAGCTTGTTCTTATTGTGGGGGATACGCATGGGCATGTAGAGGAGGTGTGAGTTATAGATGCAGGGCATGCATGGGAAAAGCGAGTGATAAGAATTACATCACTGGATGGGCATGCGCAGTAGGCGCGAACTATGCATGGAGCGTGCAGAGGCGGAGAAACCACCAGGGAGGACAAGGGTAAGTCATGGGGGCACTGGGCAGGGGGTGTAATGTGTGGCGGTGGAAGAACACTGTGGTGTCCACATTCAACAGCCGCGGGTATTCAGAGGATGTGGCGGTGATAGTGGTAGCACGCGGTGGCTATGTCACGGCAGAGATTAATGTGTATGTATATTCCAATACATGTAGCCGCTATGAACTACGTCTGATTGCTCTGACACTGCTCTAGGACTCCTTTCACATCAACACCATGCAGTATAGTATGTAGACAATTTTTATAGGAATATGACACGAAATCAGAGGAACCGATGCCAAGTTCTTTTCGCTCCGGGATACAAATTTTGGAAATACCGGTATCCGGAACAGTGATGCAACATGCGTATTATGCGAGAGTATATTCATGGATATTGGCCTCGGCGATATCGTTCACCGGATTGTCCAGAATGCCACACACACACCCACACCCACACTGTACAACCCCCCCCCCCCCCCCCCCAACCCCCAACCCACACACACACACACACACACTGTACAAAGCCCCCCCCCAACCCCCCCCCACACACACACTCACTGTATAAAGCCCCCCCCCCCCAAACCACACACACACACATTGAATAATACCATTAAGCGCGATGCACAATATCATTTCTGCGATGCGATTAGCGTCGAGCGAAAGTCTTTTTCGAAGTGCACGAAGAGTCTTCGATGCACGGAGCATTGATCAGGGCAAGCACAGTCCAAAACTGCACGCGAGCTGTCACGAGCGCCCGCCGTGTAGAAAGTGATATTTATCGCTCGTCTCAGAAATTGAACTACTCAACTTTCCGCGATAAGACCTGCGATGGAGCCGGGAAAACCTGTGATTCAAAATTTAGCAGAAACAACTCTCGATCACATCGCAGAAGTGATATTGTGCATTGCGCTTAACACACACAAACACTCTCTGAAACAAGCCACAGCACCTCCCCCACCCCTCCCCCCTGCAGACACTCACAAATTGGCAACAGCCACCCCCCCCCCCCCCCCGCACACACACACACCATGTACCATACCCAGACATACCCATTGCGGAAGCGATGATAGCGAACAGCTATGTTATACATAGCAACTTGTGCACACACAGAGACACGCACACACAACGGAGAACAGTAGAAAATCAGTGTTCTTGACCACATGACATAAGAACCATATCAGAATAGCACACAAAAACACTGTCCAGATAAGAAGCAAATCATGTGTATGTTAACTACAGTGTTAAAAGCAGCGGCAATTGTCTGCCACATCAACGAAATCCAAATATAGAAGGCAGTCTTGGAGCGTCGACTTGAAAATTTCAGCATGCCAGACTGAAGGATGCCAACTGCATAATAATTAGGGCTCAAACGGTCACGGTTTTACCCCTAACGGGTAACTGCTAAGCTAACGGTCGGTTCAACGGCTATAACCTATAAGCCACGGCGATCCTGCGGACTCTTTTTTAACCGTATATTTGACTTTACTAATTCAAAAAATGTACCCTATCCAGTACAACTCACACAATTTGCATGCTCATTCATACATACTCTCACACCAAGAGACCAGATATGACCAAGTTCACAGCCCAGAAATTGCGTACGCGTGCGACAGCCTGCGAAAGTGCATACTTTGCAACGACCTGATCCTCGAAAAATTGACTGAAAAGTTACTGAGTAACCGTTATCTTTATCGGTTAACCGTAAATTCTCCGTAACCGGTCTGCAACCAGATAATCGGACTAACAGTTTGAGCCCTAATAATTATTATAGCCTAGAACCAACATTTCCTAGAAACAGAGATTATAGCCTTGCGTGGGCATTTCCTAGTAACGGGATACCGCCTAGAACCAGCGTATCCAAGCAATAGGTTAGAAATGTGTGTACAACGCACCTCAGGAGAGATGTCATGAATGGTTACCCATATCAGCCTGTGGTGCATAATTATATAAACCATCGAGTCAGACAATGCACATGAATGTGACAATGATCTAGCTGTGTGTAAATACACACACCAGCATTACTCTGCTGAGTACAATGTTAAAACAATATCTGTGCTATATGATCAGCAGGTGAAAGAATGAGACACGATAACATGTCCCACAGCAGAACATACAGAGGAAATTGATAGGTTTCGATAGAGTGACCAGTGAATTGATCTAGTCAATTACATCTTAGACCTCGTGTTCAGTGAATGGGGGTTTGCAGCAAAAAACACAGGGCCACGTAAGGTGGATGGGGCAAGGATACCTTTGGTCAAGATATTGCTGCTGCTGCTGCCGACTGTGACGTCTGCAGGTGATGGTAGTTTGGCAATATCTTTGTTAGGAAGTCCAGCTGTAATGTCGGTGCCTGGGAGTTGGACACGGAAAGAGAGAGAGAGAGAGAGAGAGAGAGAGAGAGAGAGAGACAGAGAGAGAGAGAAAGAAAGAGAGAGAGAGAGAGAGAGAGCAAGAAATCCAACGCGATAGTGTTTTATTTCTGCTAGAGAAGTGGTACAGTTTTCTTGGAGACAAGAATGCAATGATACTGAGAAGGAGAGGAGGTAGCAAACAGAAAATTAATGTGCCTTTCAACCTAAATCTCCTGCATGCAAGTGCAAATGAGAACTGGTTCAATAAGACTCGGGTATGTGTAAAACACACACCATTAGATTTTGACCAATTGACGCCCCTCGCCGGAGGCGATGATAGCGATGCTACAGCAGAAGCCATAGCAGTTTGTGATGGTATTACACCACTCAAAAGCTTGCAAGGCTGAAGAATTGACCGCCACTATTCAACCTGGTCTACACCACACAGCTATGAAGTGGCTTTTTCTGGCCAGTGAATCCCTACTTTTTGGTCTTTTCATTTTTTTCACGCACACACATCACACCACATACTCCAGCATGCACTGGCTGTTGGTAACCACCCAGGAGAATGAAAGAAAAGTCCGGAGGAGTCTGAGAAAGAGAAGAAAGACGTGTGTGACCATAATCGTCAGGAATCGAACCCGCAACCCATCGATTGGAAATCGCTGCACACACCACTGCACCATATGGCAGACACACACACAAACACACACACACACGCACACACACACATACACACACACACACACACACACACACACACACACAAAAGGCACGCAAAGCTTACCGTGGGTTTATCACCTTGCACTCGCCGCTGATAGCCCTCGCCAAACACTACCGTATTCTCAGGCAGTGTTTCTTGACTGGTCAGATGACAGCATGCCCCAGAGCATAACCAATAGTTATGGCTGACTTCACACCAATATGACCTTGTAAACAAATGACATACACACACACATACACACACACACACGCGCGCGCACGAGCATGCACACACACACACCACACTCTCTCTCTCTCTCAAACACACACACACACACACAAAGTAGCACACTGAAATACAGAGGAATAAGGCAAGGAGCCTTCGAATTTATAACATACGTTATAGTCAAGTGGTGTGCTTCACTGTCCGACGAGTGCTCAATGCCCATGTAGGGCAGAGCCTTGTACACAAGAGAGAGTTTGGAAGCTTTGTCACAACTCCGAGTTTCACGTATCTCTACGATCATCAGGCAACTGATGGATCCAAAACGGGCAGCCAGAACATAAGGGGGAGCAAGGTGGGAAATTCCGAGGGGTGTCATAGGCGACGCGTATCATAGCGCAAGAGTCAGGTGCAGGCGTGAAGTACGTTATACGAACCATGAAACCGACAAAGGTGTCAGATACGACAATACACATTCTAACAGTCGAGCATGCTGTCAACACACCCATACACACAGCCACTATATGGCGTAAGTGAAGACACCAGCCAAACTAGCTGGTACACACATACACACACAAACACACGTATGCAAACACACGTATGCATGGGCGCACTCACGTACACACCATGTACCATGTATACGCCCGTCGCAAGAGAAGCATGCAAATCTGCAAATGCACAGGATGTGCACCCACAGATTTTCTCTTATAGCAACGATAGCGAACAAGATCTGAATGAGACGGATCAAGACTTGCGCCAGATAACTGTCTAATCCACACAACTGGCGAAGCCATGTGAATCGACCACCAATGCACACCTGGTCTACACCACATGGACTACATCGGCATAAACCGGCCAAGACAGTTACCTATGCACACCCTACACTTGCTGGGGTAACCAGTATAGACAGCATGCTGCTTTGATAGAAGCAGACACTAGATGCACTGGCACCTTGATGTGAAATTGGAGTTACTTTACCAACCAGCCTCGGCACGTACACACACACACAGGCACGTACACACACACACGTACACACACACACACACACACACACACACACACACACACACACACACACACACACACACCGTGTAGTCATGTGATACAGTCAAATCTGTCGTAAGCGACTGCCCCTTGGGGTGCAAGAAAAAGCGGTCTCTTACGGCAGATGGTCTCTTACGGCAGATGTATGGTAAATCTGGCATAACGGGCATGCATACATGTATATGCTTCCATGTACTCAAATCGACGAGAATAATGTCATTTTTTAATAATTTTCGTTTCTAATAATAATTAATTATTATTTGAAACTCGGATATTGAGCCATAAATAAATGTAGAAAGGAAAAGGACATAAGGATACGAGTTAAGAGCGCTTTGTCAAATATCGTACTGGTCTCGTCATCGTCCAGTAACAATCGACATTCTTTGTTCCGTTGGGACTGTAGCTTTTGCTCGTTTTCGTTGCGCTTGCCTTCCCCTCTTTGGTCTTTCCATAACCTTGAACCTTCCAAGTAGGAAGGCTGTCGGTTAGCGCTACGCAGATGTGTTGAAGCTAGGTGTCAGGACGTCGAATGTCTCAGTACTCTTGTCAGTTTTGTGCCTAGTTATTGCACTTTCTGACTGTATATAGTATCCAGTTACAGTGATGGAGAGTTACTCTTAACTCGTATCCTTATGTCCTTTTCCTTTCTACATCTAATAATTATCATAGTTTTTATTGGATATTCGATAGAATAGGGTGCCAGGGCCAGTCGATCGCACTTGCAAGACAGCGCATTTTCACACATCGCAGTTGACAGCGCACTGGCAAGTACGTACAGTTTCGCACCTGACTGAACGTGGGTCGCGGTCGCTTACAGCAGATTTGAATGCAGCCACCGTGCATGAAATCGCGGTCGCTGGTCGCGCACAGCAGATGGTCGCTCTGGACAGATCAATTTGTATGTGAAACCGTCGGTGCACGGAAAATCGGTCGCTAACGGTAGATGGTCGCCTACAGCAGAGGTCGCTAACGGCTGATTTGACTGTATGTTTGCCCATCGTAAGAGAAACATGCCAATCTGAAAATGCACTGGATATACACGCACAGATTTTATCTTAGGCCTAGTTAGGGGCCATCCGTAAATATAGATATTTATTTAGAAACGAAAACTAGTCGTTTAGGGGGGAGGGGGTTGAGCGCCTGTTCGTTTCTCGAAAAATATCGATGCGCAGTTTGTATGTGTGGGCACGTCCAGAAAAGAAAAGAAAAAATATCGATACTATGCATCGTTTGTATGTGTTTGTTTTTGAGGGAGGGAGGGGGGAGGGGGGTTGAAGAGAAACGACTAGTTTTCGTTTCTAAATAAATATCGGTATTTACGGATGACCCCTTATACAATGTAGTAACGATAGCGGATCAAGAGTGGAACAGATCAGGACTAGCGCCAGATACCTGCCTAATCCACTCAGCTGGTAAAGCCATGCGAATCGACCAACAATACACTCCTGATGTACACCACACTGAGCACATCGGAATAGGACAGCCAAGACAGTTACCTATGCACACCCTATACTTGCTGGAGTAACCAACGTAGTCAGCATGCTCCTCTGACTTAAGCAGACACTAGAAGCACTGATACCATGAAGTTTTACACAAACACACACACACATGCACGCGTGTGTACACGCACACACACAGACACACATGCACATACACCCCCCCCCCCCCCCTACACACACACACATACACACGCACACAGCGGCATGGAATTTGCAGAAGGAACAATGCACTCACCAGGTATGGGTGATCACTTGCTCCTCGATCTTGCCTGTTCATATGCTGGCTACGCAAACCGCTTCAACATGTGCAGTCTGTTCAGCATCAGCCCTTCTGCTGTCATCCTTAGCCTTTGCAATCTTGTCAACTGGCGCATCAGCCTCAACTGCACTTGTTGATTCTGCGTTGATCATGGCAAGGCACACTGCTGCCTCTGTACAGCAATACAGAAACAGTAACACAAGTTCATGTTACTGTAATGAAACCATATTCATCTCCATACAAGCAAAGGATACTACTGTCTTTTTGACTCAATCCCCCACCCTCCAACACACATACACACACACACACACACACACACACACACACATACACACACACACACACACACACACACACACCTGTGATAGGCAATGTTAGCCAGATTCGCGGCCGCATCACCTGACGTGTTGGGGAACACAAACTCAGTATGGTGTCAGCACAGTTCATTGTATGTAAAGTGGCACTTGCCCGCATCACCACGATTGAGAGAGCACCGAACACCCCCCCCCCCCCCCTCTCTGTTTCCAGCGAGTGATTATTTTTTCCCAATTTTGCATCCCACATCAAATCGCGAAAGTAGGCGCGCACACGAACATGCACACACACACACACACACACACACACACACACACACACACACACGAACACACACAGTCACGCTTATTCAAGAGTGGTTGACCCCTGCTATGGCAGGTCAGGGGTATCGGACACATTACGGTCACTATGGTAATGACCGTACCACTCTTTGCCCCAGGTACCACGTGAATCAATAACATGCACTTCACTGGGCTCTGAATTTCCAAAATGTTCAAGTCAGGCACCCCTCCCTGACGCGTATAATGTACTTCAGACGGCTAACCGTACCCGGCACACTAAATTGCCTTCCGACGCCACTGCAGACACATTACATCACTTAGTATTGACAAACAAGTTTAGAAAAGATGAGTTTGGACGCTTCTTGCAGCTTTATTACTTGTCCAATTATGTTGTGGCCTAAGAGCCACACTTCAAATTCCACTGCTTTCTGCACTTTACTCAAAATTCTAATGGAATATTGCATTCATAAAAGGGATACGCTTAGAATAGGAGACAAAATCATCCCCAACGTAAAACTAATCTCATTCAATTCCAACCATTAAACAATTCGAGCAATTAACTCGCCTTATAAACGCTATCCGCTGATCTGCTACGCACATCTCCCAACTCCATTGTGTGATACGCCAGCATCAGTGAATAATGATTAGCGTGGCACTTGCGTAACCCATCAGTACGCTGCGCAGAGCAACCAGCAGTTCGCACATAAATGTAGCAGCTATCGTACTGCAGTTCCAATCATTCAGTTCATGCTACCAACGTCCAAGCGTCTTCATCGTCAACAATAAAATATGCAATTTACACACAAATTGCAAAGGACAAAACTGTGAGTCTAGTTCTGTCCAAAGATTGAGTGCAATTAAATAATTCACACAATAAAATTAATGAACAATTTTTCATGACGACATGAGCATCCGTATCCGCATGATAATAATGAATGCCTTCCCTACGAGTACGAGTCGAACACAGCAAAGTCTGGACTCTCGCCCGGTCAAGACGACCACAGTCAGTGTGCAAGTACATAACTGCTTCACAAAGTGTAGATCTAGAGTAAAAAAAAAGAAAAAAAGAAGGTAGCAACAGACATAGTGATACGTATAGTACTGGGGCCAATTCAAAAAATCGACCTCTAAAATACATGCCTTGACACATGTTGGCTAACAAGGATTTTTCGGTGTTATTTGATAGATAATGTCTTCAAGAGTATCTTGGCCCAGTATGGCGTGTCCAATCGCGTCCAAAGGTCCCGAAATCACCCTCGATAGGAATACAAATTGCCGAAAAAACTAAGTTCTCATCGGCTATATTCAAGCATTTTCAAGACTTTCTCGGTACTATATTGACTGGACCTGGGAGTTTTTACCCTTTTATGTGCCAGGAGCTATAGTAACACCGTACATACACAGGATGCGAACCGACGCGTACACTGATTTTGTGCGAGAGTTGGAAAGATTGAACATCAAGTCGTGTAGTTGTGACATACCAGAAATGTGTTACCTCGTTTGGACACTTTCTTCAAAGTTTTGCATTGACTCGCTGGCGCTTTTGCTGTCGGAACGTCCACGAATGGATCGATGCTAAATTCAGCAGAACCTTCATTATAATGTTATCTTGGCTCCCCGGAAAAGTAGGCATGATTCCAACAAGGTGCAGCACAACAATTATGTGTGGAAAGCAGGGGAAAGTCATCATAGCTTGCCAAGCCAGTTGTAACTATTCATAGGACTAATCTACAACCGTGGAAAGTTTCAGACCTGGCTAACTTCATCGGGCTGGAATGAAGGCATTTACTTTGTGAGTACTGCTGCACAGGAAGTGTTACAGTGGACGAGCATTTGATTCGAATCTACAAGAGCGGCTAGTGTGAGTACCATGATTTGAACACACCGACCGTGGTGATCAGCTACCATTTGCACAAAGCCTATTTACCAGCTCAACAGCTCTAGGACAACTGCCTAAGGAGTGCCATGCTGCAGTGAGAGGGAGTAGCTATGTGGTGTGGAGTGTTACAAAAACGAAATCCGAGTACCTGGAGGTAACCTATCCCAATATGCAACACCAGCAGTAGAAGAATCATTTCCTTGTCACAGAATTTGATGGCTGGGCCTAGGCCAGGCGCGTACGCAGGGGGGGTTTCCCGTTGCCCGGAAACCCCCCAAATGTTCCAAACGAGCAACGTTTTGGGGCATTTTTGGTAGGGTCCACGATCGATCTGGCAAGAATGCAAAACTTCAACAGATCGCAACTCAGTCAAATCTCGCTCAAATCCAACGATCCAAATATCCAGGTCGAATAGAAAACTCTCAGCTGTCCGTTGAAACAATTTTCGACGCGCTGCGAGCAATGTCTCTTGAGATAAATCATTCGTAAGTAAGTTGAGCCGCGATTTTCCATTTTGAAAAGTGCGCAGTCCGACTGGAGTATCCAGAATTTGGGACTTTTCGTCGCGCTGACTTGCTCAATTTTGCAGGGGCTTCACTTGTGATATTTTCAAGAGAACACAGCCAAAAAAATCGAAACTCTGCGATCAAGAAAAACGAAATCGCTGGAGCAGGACGCGTTGGGGCTTTTGGCCAGGACACAGTACAGTCATGTACATATCCAGCGCTATAGCGGTAGAGTGCAGCGACGGTGCGAAAAAATGCCCCAAAGTTTGGGGCATTTTTTTGCACCGTCGCTTGCACTCTACCGCTAAAAATAGCCATAGCGCTGGATATGTACATGACTGTACTGTGTCCTGGAGTATCATGGTCGACCTCATTCTCTCCCTGGTACCTTTCCACTTCCAGGAAGCCCAAGATAATGAAGATTGAGTGAGTAGAACTGAAGTTATGATCCAAAGAACACGAAAAAATGCATAATTCTGAAAAATTCGTAGGGCTCTTTAGAAAGGGTAAGAACGAGCAATTGTTTGCGATTCGGTTGGAAACCCCCCTAGAGGTGACCCTGCGTACGCGCCTGTAGGCAGTGTGAAACTACAGTTATACTTATAAAACACTAACTGCAAGAAAGAGTCCGATGTCCAATGTCGTGGCTTGTCTCTCCTGAACTGATCACGGCACGTAGTTGATGCGATTCAAGAGCGGCGGTGAAGAGGGAAAACATGTTCATATAATACCTCATGTACTAGTGGCTAAAGAATTGTCCCTGACTGTAGAGCAACAGTGATGGTGTAGATGGCGGAGTAGAGATGGGCTCAGCTGTACGGCGTAGAGTTTCCAAAGCTCAGACGGAAGAACAACTTCAGTTAAAGTGAAACACATAGAAGCGAAAGTATTCGCATCACAATGTTGGGATCAACCTGCAGCTATTCACCTGTGAGCGCTGTCCAACTGCAGCCTTGAAGTCCTTTCAAAGCATTTAAGTATAGTGACAAGCTAGCCAGTGTTTGGACTGTTTTAATATCTACTAGTATGCAAAGGATTTTGGTATTTTCTTTTTCATCATTTTTTCGTTACAGCACTGCCATCGCATACAAATAGTGTTGTCCTTCTTACATTGCTGCGAGATCTATCGTATTATCTACACGTACTTCGAGTAAATTAGTTCAGGTTGAAACTGTCCTATAGCACTTCTTTCTTTAGACTCTGACAGTTTCCTACCACCTTTTCCTTCTTCTGTTAGTACTTGGGTTACAATACCTATTCTCTCAGTTGAAGTGTAACGCCGAACCGTCTGACGCTTCTCTCGTGTTTGCAGTCTGATAATTATAGTAATGCATGCCTGTAAATAGTCTCATGTACCTGCTAGCTGCACATACTATGTACATGTACACGTACCTCAATGCTAACATTCGACGCGACATGTAATGTACATGTACATGTCCAATAACCAAGTTTCACTGCGCTTTGGAAATTTTGTTTTGACACTGTGAAAGTACAGTACTTGTCGCCGTACTGTATCTACTGCTTATTCTGAGCAAAATGAGGTGCTACTTGGCCATATACATGTCAGTAAAAATGGATATAGGAGCAATTCTAGTTAGGTTGCCATGGTAATAACGGCCTTTTTCTATTTTGATGTTTTTCACCATGTTCGGACACAATTTGGCAATCGAAACCTATGCCATCGTGTTCAGGAGGCAAAAACCATCCAGGAATGATCATAAAATCCATGTTAGCAAACATGTGTCAAGTAAAAGTGAGAAATTTCAAATGGGCCCTAGGACTAGTACATGTACCATGATGTACGCTGATTGTTGACGTTGTTGTGCCAAAGCCAGTTTTGAGTTTGAGTGTTACCATGGTTACGGGACTGAAATTGTCCAATGACTTTGACTGTTGTCACATTACGAGAAATTGAAATAACAGTAGCTGAGTTTGGAATCTACCAGTGTTTCTTCGCGGCTGAAAACCGGCAGCACACACTAGTATTGGATAGGACGAATAGAAACAAGGTAGTTTTACGATTGTAGGCGTTCGCGTGACTGTGAGCCATAATCTTACCATTGTAGGCGTTGATGTGTGAGCCATTCAGCGTCATGGCGAGCAAAGAGAACACTAGTCGAAAGGACTATGTAGCGAAGCGATCAAGTGAGAATAGCGGTGAACGTACAGCGACCGAGTCTGCCAGCACACA